GCATTGAACCCACCCCCCACCCAGCCACAGCCCCTCTGGACAGGACCTACACTCACCCTTGAACTTGGAGCGGATGTTGGCCAGTTCCTTGTTGATCCTCTTGATCTCAGCCTCTTTGCTTTTACCTGCAATGGGAGCAGCAGGAACAGATGTGCTCAGTGGGGATGGAGCAGACCACAGACCCATTCCCCTTATCCCTGGTTGTAGGGTCAGATAAGGGCTGGCACTTCCTCAAGGGAAAAGGCCCCTGCCTCATCCCTACCCCCAAAGGCCCAGCTGACACAGCCCAAAGTCCTAGCATCTGCTCCATCTCTTGATCACAGCCAATTCCTTCCCCACAGCCCCAACATTCCCCTGCTTTCTCTGTTCCCCCCCATCCAGAAGGCAGTTGCCAGCTGGCCCTTCCCCACCTCCTCCAAGTCTTTCCTAGGGAAGACCAAAGAGAAACCCTGGGACTAGTTTATATAAGAGCCTCTCAGCCAGTACTAAAATGCAGCCAGCTCGGGAGGGGCACACTGGAGGACTGGTTATAGAAGGATCCCTTGCCCAGTACTAAGATGCAGCCAGCTCTGGGGTGGGGCACATGGGGAACTGATTATACAGGGAACTCTCGCCTGAAACTAAGATGCAGCCAGCTCTGGGGAGGCACACACTGGGGGGCAGTTATACAGGAATCCCTCATCCCAGCACTAAAATGCAGCCAGCTCTGGGATGGACGCAGGGAGGAGCTGTTTATTCATGACTCTCCTACCATTTCCTCCCAGCTTTCAACCCATTCCAGCTCAACAGAGACCTCTTTGCTGTAAACATCTAAAGCCTTGTCCCCTGGGCACAGGAAAAGGGGATCGGAAAGGGGTCCCCAGCCCTGCCAGGGGGTCATGCAGAGATTGGGAGGAGCAGGGCAGAGGGGTTCTGTCCTGAGGGAGGTGGTGGGAGAAGCAGGTCTGGATCTGGGGATGCAGGGAACAGGGAGACTTGGGCATGTCCCTCACACCCCTGCTGTGTCCGACTCCAGCCCCAGGGTGCTCAGCCTGCCTGTGGGGATGACCCTCGGCCCTGCTCCAGAAAGGGGCTTCGGGCAAAGAGCTGGGACTGCCTTTATCCTTGGAGCTGGGAAGAGGAAGAGGATCAGGTAGGGACAGCCTAGAAAAATAACAGCTTGGAGGAACTAGCCAAGGTCTCTCCTCTGTGAAAGAGACCCCGACCCCCAACCCCTGCGCGCCAGCTGCTGGACAGACACAGCCAAGAGCCACTTCCTGTCCCAACAGGCAGGGACAGGGGCTTGGAGGGGGAGCCGGGGGA